GGGGGGGGGGGGGGGGGGGCAAGGGTCATATGGTGGGGGGGTACAGGTGCTTGTTGGTATTTTGTACAAACTGCGGCGACGCTAAGGATGACTTATATTAGGTTAGGTGAGGGGAGGTGAAGAGGGTGCTGATTCTCTCTCAATGACCGTAGGCTATCTAGGCTAGTCTTGCGACCGTACGGCGGCTGGCGTCCGCCCTATCCCGACAGCGGGATGCGATCGAATCCGGCGGTAATTTTGTCAGCTCTCTCTCTCTCCTCGTTTGCTGCTTTCTCTAAAGTGAAGCTCGCCAGTGCTGATGATTGTTGCGCACCAACCCAAAACAGTCAACCAATCCAACCAACCAACCAACCAACCAACTCAAACGATCGATCGGCTTGCGTGTGCCTCGTGATTGTTTAGTGTCATCTGGGCACAAGGATTTTCTCGAGCTCCGCTTCTCTGGTTCATTCTTACCATGGTTTTGTCCGATGTGATACGGTGCTTTGTGCGCCCTTGCTGTGCTTTTGTTTGGATCGCAGCTGTACCGAAGGTACCTGCTGTCGCAAGCGGAGAAGCAGAAGACAGGATCGGCTACGGACGCCATCACGAGGGCGGCCCGCCAGGTGCGTTTTCGAAGGACCGAGCGACGATAATGATGATGGTGGTGTATGTCACCGGTGTCGAGGGTCTGGTTGGAAGAGCCTTGTGCCGTATTTCTTCCGGTCTGGAAAGCACGGTAGATACCGCCCGCTCGTATTTCCTTAGTTTTTGGTAGGATCTAGGGGCGGCGCTCGTAGCCCTCACGTTTTGTACTTGAGGGGCGGAAAGAGACCCCTTAGGTGGAAAGCTTTGGGCGATCTGGTATATTATGTTTGAGGTCGACGGCTGCTGCTGCTGCTATACCTTCCCACTATTGGCTTTCTCGAAACTCCCTTTCCCCTCCCTGCCTTCCAACTCCCGGTTTTCTCGAACTCCCTCTCCCCGCTTTGCCCCGACCACCACCACCACCGCTGTTGCATGTTGCATGTTGCATGTTGCAGGTGGCGGACACTCTCTGCGCGAAGGCGATCGTGGTCTTCACCTCGAGGGGAACGACGGTCAACAAGGCCGCCCAGCTCCGGCCCAGCGTGCCCGTCATGGGCGTGACGCCCAACATCGAGACGGCCAGGGGGTTGGCGCTGACGTGGGGGGTGTACCCGGCGGTGATCGAGCCGGACAGCGACGACGTGAACTTCCGGATGATGCTCTTCAAGTGCTGCGCGGTGGCGCAGGCCAAACTCATCGCCGACAAGCCGACCGACCTGCTCGTGGTGACCGCGGGGCTCCCCTTCAAGGTGCGGCGGCTCGCTGAGTTTTTTTATTTTTTGTGGCGTGGTGGGGTGGGTATGGGGTTTTGATTGAAGCCGAGGTTATGTTTGTTCTCGCCGCCTTGGGAGAGGAAGCAGCGAGCGGTGGCAGCAGCTGTAAAGAGATATTTTTGGTTTTCGTCCTCTGTCGTTGGGGCATCTTAACACACAAGAGGGCCTCATGCTACTGAGAGTGGGCATGCGGAGACCTTTTTTGCTGGAAATGCTCGGACAGGAATTCAACCGCGGTAAAGACACGAGTGTGCGCGCAGCAATCCGCAGTTGGTGAGCGTCTGCGAACGCCACGTTTAGTATTCTCTAGAAGGGGCTCTCGTGTGGTGTCTTGTCTGTGGTTCTGCAGTAAAAGTCATGCGCGCGGCTGTAATAGTAAGCGACGAACAAATGTTGGCTTTGGTTGCTAGGGTTAAAAGGGGGGAGAGACCCTTAACAAGGGTCGATACAAGAAGCGACGGAGGTGTCTCGACATCCTTGGCCATGGTTCATGAAGGCAGCAATGAGGTCAATGTGACAGCTCCAGTAGTAGATGCAAGGTGGCTGGGGTGCGGCCTCTTAGAATCTAAATGGACTTTGTCGGTACAAGCACGGCGTGCAACCACGTGCACGTGCATCTTTTCCAAAGCTGGAAGTGGACTTTCGTTCGAGGGAAAGACATGGCCCTCTCTCCATCTCCTGTTGAACGCTCACACATTCATTGCCCTATGATAGCTGCAAGCAACAACATTCATGAGTGCCCCTACTCCCTCTTTCATGATCCGAAGTCGAACCTATCCATGTAAAACCTGATAAATCCCTCCCCCACCCGTTCCCTCAGGTCCTACTCCATCTTTCATGATCCGAACTCGAATCTATCCATGTAAAAGCTGATAAATCCCTCCCCCACCCGTTCCCTCAGGTCCCCGGAGTGGTGAACATCTTGCGCGTGCTGCCCGCAGCGGGGCCTGACATCTGGGACCCTACCCTCACCACCGACCTCGATGGGATGGACCACACCGAGGCATACGTCAACTATGATGACGTGTACTAGTGTGCTACTACTGTTGGAGTGCGGTCAAGGTTGCGAAGGGGAGACGACAGGGGCACACGAGCATCAGCTGTAGCTGACCCGCCGCCAGCCGGTCAGCCAGCTAGCCCGCCAGGCAGATGTATAGTCTAGGCGATAACTAAACCTGGCTGATTAAACCGGGGATTCCATTCCACGTCCAACACGCAGCTTTGAGTTTACATGTGGGCACAACCGAGCGAGCCGACAGATGTACCCGGTATGTATTTGTTTCTCATGTGGTGGTGCCACGATCTGTCGTGCACCTTCTCTTGTTCGGTATGAAACATGCGCTGCTCGGAGCGGGTGTTTGCCGGCGCATGCGTGCATCGGGCGACCACAGCTACTAGCTGTCTTTGTGTCCATCATCCCGTCTGTGCACCCCGTGGGATATACTAGACAGCCCGAGCCTTGAAATTTAAGCCATCAGCAGGGCTAGTCACTATTGTTGACCCTTTTCGGCGTGTTTTACCTCTCCTCTTGAGATGGATAATAACGTTGACAATAAAGGATTTAACGGCGTTGGTTGAAGGTTTTTACTTGTTGTGTCTTAAGTTTTAGCTGTCTGGAGTGGGGGGGGGTTCCTTGCTTGTTCTTTTGCGGGCATCCTCTGACGACGTGACGGCATGTCGTCGGTCAGGGTATCGCTTACCTTTCTGAGCGAAGCCAGCCCGACAACCCAGTTGCGTATGTGGTGTTCGAGGTCGGGAGCTTGATTTCTGGCAAGCCGAGAGAGGAAAAATAACGCAGCTAGTTTATATGTAGCTCGTTGCCTAGAGAAGAAGCAGCAGTAAAAATATAACAGCGTAGCGAGACCGGCTAGCTGCTGCCGTGTAACCGTTACGGGGAACACAAGCTTTTCGTGATGTGCAACTACAACTCCGTGCTTCGTGTGTGTCTTGAGTGATTTCATGTGTCCATCTCTGGTAGCTACGATTTGTCGTTTTTCTGTCTTGTTTTTCGTTGGATACCCATTTTTTTTATTTTTTTCAACACGGTTACCGAGATTGCAGCAACCTCGCTCCCCCAATTGATTGGTTGGACACGAGCAGTAACGAGCACGTCCACGTATATGCGTAGGTCGGCCACAACCAGTACTTCGGCATGATCTGGTTGCACCGGCCAGCGCGACCGAGACAACCTTGGGGCGAAACCATGAAAGCTTCACCACAACGGGGGGGTGCTGGCGATTGTTCGCACGGTCGGGTGTTGAGGGAGAAGAGCGAGCCCATGCTCGGTATATCGCCGCCCGTTTCATCGAAACAGAAGGGCACACGATACAAAATGCAGGTGAGGCACCGTGATCTGTCAAGATGTAGCGGCGGAAGCGCATCATGCAGCAACACCGCCCCTGCTGCTGCCAGCGAGAGAAGAGGGGGTGCTTCGGAGCGTCCGCCGCCGTCCGGTGCACGTACCGTCCGTGTTCCTAGCGCCACAGAAATAAAACCGATGGAAGACAGTTTTTTTTTTCGTTTTTCAACGATTTTTAATTCAAAAAGTGCCCTCGTCGCACCGCAACAAGAACGAACGACAGACTTTCAACACCCGCTTGTTGCTGCTCGTGTGCCCTCGACACCTCTTCCCGGCATCAACAGACCGGTTCCGCTTGCAGGGGTCCGGGCTTAGTAGTCCCCTCCGCCCTCCTCGGCGCCGAACATGCTCATGCCACCGCCCATGTCGATCTCCTCCTCCTCCTCCTCTTCCACGGGAGCAGCGGCGGCCGGCGCGTCGCCGCCGCCACCGCCGCCAGAGCTGGCCGCGAAGGCGCTCGGGTCGGCGAGGATAGCCTGCAGCACAAAGCAATAGGGAAAGCACAGACGACACCGGGCAACGAATGGTGTCAGATAGCATTCGTGTTGCGTTGTTGCAAGATCGCAACACGAACTACGCGTTCACCGAGACGTCTCATTGAAACTTTTACACATGAAACGAAAGAGATCTCTACAAGGAACAGGGTGCCAGATCGAGCGGGATACACATCGATCAAGGTGAAGGTTTTATTCCCGCGGATACGTGGCACGGCAGTGTATAACAATCACCCCGCTCTCTTGTCTGTCTTGAACAAAAAAAAAACGTGCGCAAAGCTCGACAGCAAGCTCCCTCGCTGCTGCCAAGCGATGCACACCAGATTCCTTCCTATCGTGCTGCCTGCCTTCTTTGGTGCCGTAAGAGGGCGGACCGACCGGGGGAGGACATCGCTCGACCTGTCATCATGTTCGCACATCGCGACTGCGCGTTCGCGCTATAAATTATCCGCAACCCCCTTGCCACTGTTCTTCGGGGACAACAACGAAACCAACACTGCACATCGTCAAGGCCAGCTACACAGCAGTAAACCGCTGTGCGCTATCTGGCCAGCCAAAATCGCCACCGCCTAAAAGCATCTGCCCTTCCCCGTCACATTCCACGCAACCCCCCCCTCCCCACCTTGATCGTGTCGGCCTGATCGAACGAGTAAGTGTCGCAGCCCTCGATCACGACGCCCACCAGCGCGCGGAACGCGTTGGCGATCGAGTGGGGCAGGGACGCCAGGGTAGGGAAGCCGAGCTCCAGGGAGACAGCCGCCACGTTGCCGCAGGCCGCGGCGAACTTGTTGCCCATGTCCTCGTCCGTAAGGTCCAGCACGGCGGCGTCGAACACCGAACCGTTGTCGTAGACGCAGTCGATCACCAGGCCGTACGTGAAGGGGCGGATGCTCAGCTTCTGCAGCAGGGCCGCTTCGGAGCTGCCGACCTGTTGGTTCGTTCGTGTCGTTGGGTGGGGAGGGCTTGAGAGGGAAGGAGGGGACGGGGAGAGAGCGTGGCCTGGTCGTGCACGCCGCCTCCCTCAATGGGAGCTGCAACACGAAAAGCTGTCGATCACGGACGCGGAGTGATTGAACATATGTTGACGTGTTTTGAGAGGCAAGAAGAGGACGGGGAGGGAGTGTGGCCTGGTGATGTACACGCCGCCTCCCTCAATGGGAGTGAAATACGGCAGGCTGGCTGTATACTATCTTCCCACAGAGCGCGGGATGATCGAAAAAGGGGCCTCGACTACTTCCAACTCTCGAGGTGGCACCGGCAAGAGCGTGAACTAGCGAATCGTAAAGCCGCGAAACAACCGTCTTACCCCCCTCTCTCCCCCCCCCCCGCTCACTCAGCAACGAACAACTCAAAACGCACACACCGGAAGCGGGGGACGAAACGCAACAAAGAACGAGCTTCGGATCCTCTTCGAGGATCTAACATCTACCCTCATGCTTTCAATCAGACATTCTCTAGAAGCACAGGCGCATCCTCAGGCAGTCGTCAACACTACCAGCCAGGCGACGCTCCCACCAGTGGTGCCTCGCATGCATGTGCACAACGACAACGACGCGTACCTTCTGGCCCTTGGGCACGAGGAACACCTGAGTGGTGATCTCGATCTGACCCTTGGTAATCTTCGTGGGCACCTGTAACGAACGGTAAATGGCAGATCGGGCGAGCAGGGGGAGAGAGGCGTGCCGGTGGAGGGCGCGTGCGGCGAGCGGCGTCAGCGAGACGCAACACCATATTCTCCGTCTTTCTTTGACAAGAGCGACAAGCCCCGATTATTCCCATTGACGGGGTAAAGACAGAAAATGAGGCACGGAAACGGCCAGGGCCATCGAACGCGCACTAGGGAAGACGGGTTCAAGAAAGCGGTACAATGCAACCACCTTTCTCTCGGTCGAGAGAAAAACACAACGCACAAACCTGCTCACCGAGGATGCTGCTTGCTGTAACCGGGTTAACGCCGCTCTTGTCGGCACCAAGGGTACACACCAAACCCAGCGACCAAGTGTACTACACCGGCAAACAAAAAACAAAAGAGTGGTGGTTGCCAAACAATTCGCAACGAACACGCACGAGAAGCAGCAGCAAAAAGAAACACACTTCCCAAGAAAGAAAAGAGACAACAACAAACACACCTGGAGCACTTGGAAGAAAGACGTCTGTCCGGGGTCGCAGCCGGTGGGGCCGGGGGGCACCATAACGTCGATGGGCGCGATGGAGCCCACTCGGGCCGGGGCGGGCACGCGGTGGGCCTCGATGACGTCGCGGATGTCACCGAGCTCACCGTTGGTGAAGATGAAGCCCACGTTGCCCACCACGCGGGGGAGGATCTGCGGCAGCGGGGGGGGGGGGGGGGGGGGGGGGGAAAGGGGGGGGAACAAAAACAAAAAAAGGGGGGGGAAATCTTCCCCCCGGGGAAACCAAGATTTTTTTAAGGGGAAAAAAAACACGGAACAGCCATCCGAAATTCCACCGGCCC